TGCACGAAGTCCTTGAGATCGACATTCAGGTCATTTCCTTATTATTAAAGGAGGCAAAAATAATACACTTGCTATTTTTCCTATCAATTTTTTGGCATAATTATCGGGGACTTCCTAGTTATTGAGTGTAATTTGAGTTCAATTAGAACTTTGTTGCTCTACAACTAAAATTCCTTTTCTGTAATTTTTATATTTTTATTATTACTGATTTTTCCTAACCTTTGCATGGGAGAAAAACCCTTAGCTGAATTTCCTTTTGATATACATACTTAGGTTCGAAATCAGAACCCGAAACTATGGGTGAAAACCCACCACCACCAGAGAGACTTCTTGGGGATTACGGAGGAGCAAATGCTCCAACAAGTCGGTTGACTATTATTAATCAACCGATCAATGTTGCAAATTTTCAACTTCATCCTTCAACCATCTGCCAGCTCGAGAATAGATCTTTCACCAGAAAGATCAATGAAGATGCCAATAAGTATTTGCAGAGATTCGTCACTATGAGTACTACTTTGAATATTGAGGCACTCTAAAGAAGCCAAGAAATTAAGGATGTTCCCATTCATGCTGTCAAAAGATGCTGAAGAGTGGTTTTACTCGTTGCCTGCTAGAAGTATCACCACTTAGGAATAGATGGAGAAGACTTTTCTTGATGAGTACTTTCCTGCTTCTATTTATATTTGCCATTGGTGTAAAGAATATTATTGAAGCCATTGCTGCAGATGAGAAATCATAAGCTATATGACAGGGTTGTGAGTAAACCAGAGGGGGTGATTGATCTGAAGTTAGAAATTAATAAGCAGGTGAAAACTAAAGAAGCAATTGCTGTAGAAGTAGCAAAAAAGATGAAAGCAATGAACATGGGTACTCAACATGTAGCTCAGGTTTAATAGGTACAGAAGGTTGCTTTTGAAATTTGTAGTGGACTGCACCTTAATGTGCAATGTCTTACTACTCCATAACAAATTGAGGGGATAAAATTCTCGAGGGAAAATAACCCATATTCTAACACCTATAATCTTGGGTGGAAGAATAATCATAACTTCTCATAGAAAGATCAACAATAACAAGCTCCTAAAAAGGAATAGTGGGAGATGGCTATTGAAAAGATGGTTGTCGATACCTCTCAATTTCAAGAAGAGACAAGGAGTAATTATGGGAATACCACAACTGCAATAAAAAATTTGGTAGTTCAAATGGGACAAATTGCACAACAGGTATGCGAATTTTTAGGGTTATACTATTCATCCCCTAGGTTGTGATGAATAACATAAACTCGCCCTTGTTGTCTTTTATCCCCTAGGTTGTGATAAATTCACAATTTCATCCTCATACTGTTTACTCCCTAGGTTGTAGTAAACATGATGAAATCTGCGATATAACTTATTGCATCAGTCTCTATGCAACAATGTGTTATCAAGCTTTTTCAATTAAATATCCCCTAGGTTGCGATAGATATGTGAATTTTAAGGGTTATATTATTCATCCCCTAGGTTGTGATGAATAACGTAAGCCTACCTCTATTGTCGTTTATCCCCTAGGTTGTGATAAATGCACAGGTTTATCCTCGTACTATTTACTCCCTAGGTTGTAGTAAACATGACAAAATTTACGATATAACTCATTGTGCCAGTCTCCATGCAGCGATGTGTTATCAAGCTTTTTCAATTATTTATCCCCTAGGTTGCGATAGATATGCAAATTTTCAGGGTTATATTATTCATCCTCTAGGTTGTGATGAATAACGTAACCCCACCCCTATTGTCTTTTATCCCCTAGATTGTGATAAAGGCACATGTTCATCCTCGTACTGTTTACTCCCTAGGTTGTAGTAAACATGACAAAATATGCGATATAACTCATTGCGTCAGTCTCCATGCAGCAATGTGTTATCAAGACTTTTCAATTATCTATCCCCTAGGTTGCGATAAATATGCAAATTTTTAGGGTTATACTATTCATCCACTAGGCTGTGATAAATAACGTAAGCTCACCCCTATTGTCTTTTATCCCCTAGGTTGTGATAAATACACATGTTCATCCTCGTACAATTTACTCCCTAGGTTGTAGTAATCATGACGAATTTTACGATATAACTCATTGCATCAGTCTCCATGCAGCAATGTGTTATCAAGCTTTTTCAAATATCTATCCCCTAGGTTGCGATAGATATGCGAATGTTTAGGGTTATACTATTAATCTCCTAGGTTGTGATGAATAATATAAGCCCACCCCCTGTTGTCTTTTATCCCCTAGGTTGTGATAAAGGCACGGGTTCATCCTCGTACTGTTTACTCCCTAGGTTGTAGTAAACATAATGAATTCTTCGATATAACTCATTGCGTCAGTCTCCATGCAACAATGTGTTAACAAGCTTTTTCATATATTTATCCCCTAGGTTATGAGAGATATGTAAATTTTCTAGAGTTATACTATTCACCCCCTAGGTTATGATGAATAACATAAGCCCACCCCTGCTGTATTTTAACCCCTAAGTTGTGATAAATACACAAGTTCATCCTCGTACTGTTTACTCTGTAGGCTGTGGTAAACAGGACAAAATTTATGATATAACTCATGCGTCAGCCTCCATGCAGCAATGTATTATCAAACTTTGTTTTATTCATCCCTTAGGCTGTAATGAATATATTTGGCATCTTAAGCTTACTATTTTAGTCTCCATGCGTTAGTAAGATACTTTCAACCCATAACATCTACTCTCTAGGTTGTAGTAGATATACGACACATGCGATATAACTCATTGCATTAGTCACAAAATAGCAATAAGTTATCTTTCTCTTAGAGATATAATTCGTTGTGTTAGTCTCCATGCGGTAATAGATTATCAGACTCTGTATTTTTATCCCCTAGGCTGCGATGAATATGCAATATCTGCGTCATTAGCTTACTATGTTAGTCTCAAAGCATTAGTGAGTCAAGTTTCAAACTGATGTTGTCTACTTTCTCTCTGTGATATAGCTTGTTGCATCAGTCTCCATGCAGTAATAAGCTATCAACCTTTCAACTTGTATTGTTTACCTCCTAGATTATGGTAAATACAAAAAAGCTACGATCACTTTTTCTAGGTATTGACGAGTTATCCGCGTTGTCATATCTGGATCAATCTTACTCTTCAATTTTCACTCTCTGCTCAAACTCTGGTAGGATGATACATCGTCATCCTTGCCTATATACTTTTGTTCAAATTCTGGTAAGGTGATACATCATCATCTTTGCCTATTTTTTCAAAACTCTCGGGGGAACATTGTACAGTGTATCCTTATCTAGCCAACCTTTGGTCAAATTTTAGGGTTTTCTATTATTTAATAACCCTCTGATTCGAATGTGCGAGACCTGCGTATTCTCGCACCATTCAATCAAAGAGTGATTAAATAGGGGCAATTGTCATACCCTAAATTTACCCACCCTTTATTTCTACAGTCAAATATATTTTCAACATTGGTTTTTATAATATTATTTGATTTTTATAAATATTCGCTTCCAAACCTATTTAAAAATATAATGATTTATTTCAGGTCATTTGTATTTTTGAATAAACAAATACTTGCTCGTCTTTAGGGATGTCAATGGGGCGGGGCGGGGCCGGGGGGACACTTCCCCATCTTTTTCCCCGCCATCAAATTCATTCCCCGTCCCCGTCCCCGATCTCCGTCACGGGGGAATTTCTATCCCCATCCCCGTTCCCCGCGGATCCCCGTTCCCCGCGGGGATCCCCATAGATCTTACATTTATTCATTAATATTTTATTTTTTTAAAATGTTTATATTTTCTATAAAAATAAAAAGCACAAAGAATTCACATATTTATTATGTTATTAAAAAATACTAGTATTTGACATTTATTATTTTTTATTAAAAATACTAATGGAACACAAAATAATAATATTTTTTTTATAAATTTCTATAAAATTCAACAAAATGAACTATAATACTTTTTAAAGTAACAATATGCCTAAACAACTAAAAAAATCCAACAACATAATTATGCTTAAAAAACTATACTTCATCAAAACTAATAAGGGATAATAAACATAAAGGAAATGACTAAAAAACCTAATCTAAAATATATATATTAAATTAACTATATTAAAATAATAGGCGGGGCGGGGTCCCCACGGGGCGGAGGGTGTATTCCCCGTCCCCGTCCCCGAAATGCTCTCGGGGGAATTTTTCTCCCCATCCCCGCCCCCACGGGGGGAAATTCCCCATCTTTGGGGCCCCGAACGGGGCGTTCCCCGCGGGGATCCCCATTAACAGGTCCAAACTGACATCCCTACTCGTCTTCATGTACTTTCAATTGGCTTTTTATTTTGAATAAGTAACATAACACAATTGGTAAGGAATGGAGTTTACAAGTATGAGGTCGCGGGTTTGAATCTCTTGTGTTGCACTTTTAACATTTTTTTCTATTTTTTGTTACTAATTTTGTTTCCTTTTTGAAGATCATGCCTTGGGTTTTCATTCTCTTTGGATAACTTACTTGCTAAGTTTTTCTAAACCTAATTCAGGTTTATAAATAGAACTCTTATTTGTCCTAAATTTTTCATCTACAAATCCACAATATTCACAAATCCCACGATTCACCACTCATGATATTCATTTTGTTTCTTTGTTTGTCTTGAATCCAAAAATTCTACAATTCACTCTTACACTATGCATGAACAATTTCATCTTACAAATCAACAATCATTCACATATCTATAAAATTTTCAATCACACACACAAACTTTTGTTTTGATTTACTTTAAGATTCATAACCCTGTTGTTATCTATATCAGACAACAACAACAATTTCTTTATTCTTGACCAAGAATTTTATATGAGGTCCCATTTTATTTTAATTTGCGTACACCAAATGATGAATATGATGGTGCCTTTTTCTATATTTTTATATGAATAACAATTATCCACTTCTAATCACCAATTTTTTACAAAACATGTTTTTATTTGTTTTATTTCATCCACCAAAAATAACATATGAAGATTGAACACAAGCTTCACTCACTGCATACCAGCCGTTTTTCATATACACCGATTTCAATTCATACAATTATAGTAAGACACAAGTCAAAACTAGGTTTTTCTTTGAGTTTGTCACATATCCTTCTTCTCCGTATTATAACAACCTTCTTAAATATCCATCAAACTTTCCAAAATTTGAAACCAATCACCATTAGAATATCAACACGAAAAGTCAAGATTTCTACAAAAACTAAACTTGCAAACACCTAAACTTTGCATCCATAAATCTTCCAAGCTATAAACCATTGACATACTAATTACAAATCTATGAACTATAATAACTGTAATCAACAAAGAAAAGAAGTTGTGGCCATTCGATCCGCACCCGAAAAACATATTCGCTCAAATTTCATATTTATTTCGCATTAATCTTCAAAGGTTTTTTGTTTTGTTGTTGTTTCTGTTTGTTATTCAGGCAAGAAAAAGAAGGAGAAGAACAGAGAAACAACATAGCATCCTCCACCCTTGAGCTGCCCTACGGCCACACACTCAACCTCAGATCCGATTTTTCACCGGGTTCATAATATGAAAAGTAAAAGAAGGAATCAAAAGAGTGAATGACCCGAACCGCTAGACAACCTCAAGAAGCCCACCCTTCAAAGACCGCACTCCTTCCGTTCCGGATCGCAGCCGCGCCCTCAAGCAGCCAGCCACCACGTGAGGTACCACCGTAATCTCTCTACCTTGTCAATTCGCATGATCGCATCTATGTGGAACTCCAGCTCGCCATAGCACCTTGTCGATGATGACCCCTCCACTTCCATCGATCTACTTCTAGAGGCAAGAGTTCGTCTTTCTTTATTTCATCATGTTATTTGAGATATTATTATGATGCTTTGTGAATCTCACTTTAAGAAAAAACATAGAGAAAGTTTCAGAAAAGGGTCACGATGGAAATTTTTTTGTTTGTTTTCTCTACTATATTTATGAGACGCTTGGGTTTTATTATTTGTGACAGCAGGGGCACATCTTTTGGGCCATAGGGTAAGAGTTTGTTTTTATCATTACTATCATGGATTATTATTTACTATAGATTTATGTTCTACCTTACTTAGTTCTTTAGTTAATTATATATCTTAATTGGTTTAGTATTTAGGCTTAATTTTTAAAATAATTTAGGTTATTTAGTTAACAAGAAATTATCATTAAAAAAATACAAAAATAATACAAACTAGGTACTTTATTAGGTTAACTATATTTGTAAATACATTTAGTCTAAATTAAATTAACATCCATACCAATCGTAAATAAAATCGTTAAATTTGTATACAAATCCAATCACTTTTTCTCAATTAATTAATTAATATTCTACAACGATATTAAAATCCACGCGACTAACAAAATTACTGTATCTGTGAGCGATACGTGGCCAATATCTGGCCACATTGTGAGGAGACTATATCAGACTCCCCTGTTCTATGCCATACTCGATCAATCGACTTCAAAATAGGTAACCAATAACAATTCAGATATTTTTCTACTAACTTATTAAAAAACTATAATATATTTTCAAAAAGGATTATGGAGATATTTCTCATTAACTGCGAACTTCGTCTAACAACTTCGCAATTTACAAACCTAGACTTGGTTCAAGGATTAATTCGAGATGTTCCCGTAATCCATAAAAAACACCAACCAACAACTACGAACTACAAATTAGGACTCTGATTCCTCCTAAGAGGATACGTAGGCATACGACTAAAATCGTGGCGAGTTCCCCTAATAAAAAACTAAAACCCTATTTCTTAAAGATTGCATTTTTAAACCCTAGTATCCTTGTGAACAAGGTAGATGAGGGGTTCCTAAAATCTCCCCTTTGTCTAAAAATAAGTCAATAACTTAGAATCTCTGACTAAATTAGGGTTATCCTTTATATTCCCTTCTCAAAGATAAAAATTAAGGGTGACGACTGTCGATTTAAAACCGGTTACAACAGCTGGACCTCTGCTGGGGACTCAACCCTAGGATTTAGAAGCCTTCCTCTTAGGTTTAGGGTTTTGTTTGGGTTTTGGTGTTTTTCAATATTTGCTCTATTTATTTATTTTATTCATTTATTTTTGTCTACTATTATTTTTCTCATGTTATTATATCTGTGATGGGATTTTATTATTTTAAAAAAATAATATATTTTTCAGAACCCTTAGAAAGAAGGTTCGTCTATTAGCCAGGGAGATACATCAACCCTATGAGTTTATATGACAACTTCACCTAGAGTCAGTGGAATTCCGCGAAAGGAATACGTCTCAAGAGATATCCTCTTGGGGGATAGGACTTTGGAATGAAACCTATGACTCTTTGTATAACCCCTAACCAAAATCTCATGGTGAGACCTTGTACGACCTTAGAGACAAAAGTTTCGTTTTACAATGAGGCTCCACTTAAGGGAGGCCCTTATGCCTTTCCCTCTAGTGTAATATATGATACCCTTAAGGAAACCACCTTAGGGGAAAGGTAGAAAAACTTAGAACATTTATAAGAGCTCTCCTATAGGTTATTCTATCAACATCCTATCATCTTAACCCGTAAGGGTACTGTAACACGGTCGGAGAACTTACTTGGGATGTTTTACGTTTGATCGCAATTGTTGCGGATAGAAAGATTCGCCATCGACTTTACTTTTATCCAATAAAGGAAAGGGTGAAAAGAACATGAAAGACGTTTGAGATTATTTTCTTGAGTTCGGGGGGTAGATTATGAAAATGGAAGGTGTTAGTACTCTTTTCATCCATAGTTATCTATGGGATCTTAGTTGTTTGCTAGATCACTTGCTTTATTTGAAAATGTGCTTGTGGTGTGGTTTTTGAAAGTACTTTGAAAATGTACCTTTATAATGATTCTTGTCTCTATAAGAACGTATACAAAGAGTTGTTTGGAAAATAGTTCAAAGAAGTGTTTGTTTTTTGAAAGTGATTTTGAAAAAGGTGCCTCTGTAATAATTCCCGTCTCTATAAGAACGCATACACAGTGTTGTCTTTTGAAAATGTTTCAAAATGAAAGTATTTGGTGTATGAAAATGTTTTTGTTGTGAGCAAGCGAGCAACCAGGAGAAACCTACCTACTCAAAAGGTCTTTAGTGTTCTTTTCCTCCTCCTTTAGATGTTGCTATCTTACCATTGATTGGTAAGAGACTTTTTCTTTGGATGTAAAGGGACGGACGTGGGTCATGGTATAGTTATGATAGCAATGTTGTGAGATATCTTATCATCTCTCTTGAGGGACTAAGATCATTTTTAAGACAAAAATCGAAGCGTCATTGAGGGACTATGATCTTGTATTTTGATTGTTTTTGCTAAGACGTCTTACATGCATGTCATGATCATTTTTAGACAATACGTGGAGTTAACCCTAGGGGTACATGTGTGAATAGTGTGTTTGATTTGCATGTGTTTAGTCTTTGATTAGGGGTTGTCTACTTATTGTTTTTATCTTTCCATACAAACCCTAATTACTAACATTTATATGAAAGCGATAAAGTTCGGAAATGTAAATATCCTACGCTATTACAATCACTTGGAGATGGGGTGTACAAATTTACAAATGGGGATTGTAAGAAATTAAAGTCCTAATTATCTATTACAATCATATTGAAATGATGTACAAGAAATGTAAAATAGACTTGTTTTGGTTTTTGCTAAGAGAAGAAATAAATTTGCTTAAGAAAATATTTTTAGTCTTTTTGTTTTAAAAGAAATAAAATAAAGCATGTGAATATAAAGTATTTTTTTGGTGTTTTTGATTAATGAAAATAAAGTGATGATAAAAATAAAAAGGGAATAAGAGTCAGAATTAGCGTGTTGCTGAAAGAGGAGAGAGCAGAAGTTTTGACTCAGGCACGATTTTGAGGTTGTTGGGAACAAAGGAAAGCCTAGAAGTTCTGATTGCTGAGAGTCTAGAAGTTCTGATTGCTGAGAACCTAGAAATTTTAGTATTACTGGAAGGTTAGAAGTTCTGGTTGTTGAGAGAGTCTAGAAGTTCTAGTTGTTGAGAGAGTCTAGAAGTTCTGATGTTACTGGAAGGCTAGAAGTTCTGGTTGTTGAGAGAGATGCTGTTGGGTGAGACTGGCTAGAAGTTCTGGTCCAGGAATATTGTTTGACAAATAATAGGGTAAAAAATGTCAAGAAATAAACATAAAAAGATGCTTCTGGGGCTAGAACCCAGGACCCTTAACACTAATATCTTATGTGCGCGCTCTCAACCACTGGGGTGGCTGTACATCCGGTATTAGAAGCAAAAACAGAAGCATGTATCACAAAGTAAGTTCTGATGATGAACTTCAACTTCTCCTTCATGCCAACCAGAGCATCTGCAACTTAGTTATTTCTCAACAAAAATAGAAAATGCAAGCATATAAGTTATGGCAAATTTCATCAATATTTCAGAAATGCAAAGCATCAGAACTGTAAACCAAAAGCAAGCATGAACTTTGCTAATCCTAATTCTGAACCCTAATTTCCCCAAGAAGTTATGATATGAAATTCTCTCTACTTAGGACATATAAATGAAATCTATAAATATGTACAGAATCAGAGCCATGATATCTACATTGTATCTTTGAAAATGAAATCCTAACAATGGCTAAGTAATGAGATGAAAATCATAAGAAACTCACCTTGCAGCTGGAAGTTGTTCTGTGAATTAGAGCCTGGTTCATATTGCTGTGATGTTCTGATCAGCTTTCTCACGTTCTCAGAAAGCTAAAGCAACCCTCAACTTGACTTATGGATGGCTGGAATGTTCTGGAACATCCAAGAAGCAAAGTTTTGATTTTTGAAATGGAGATTGGTGGAGATTGTGTTACAGTCTGAAAACAGAAGTTGGGACGACTTCTAAGTGTATATCAGAAACTGTGTGGGTGATTTGGCCAAGAAATGCACAAGAAAAATTAGAATTTGGATGCAAAAACCAGAAATTAGCAGCTTTTGTGTTTGGGCTACAGTTTTAGGTTCTTGGAATTTTCAGCAAGGTTTCAAATTTTTTTTCCAATGTCTCTCTTTTTGATATTTGCAAATGAAGTTTAATTTATAGGAAAAGGATTTATAAGCTTGGAGAAATCAAGAGTACAACCATCATGGGTTATGGATCATTGACTTGTTTTTGAAGCAAGTTTAGCCAAGCATGTTTCAAGGCAAGGTAGGGTGGTTAGCAGCTTTAAGCACACCTAATCTGAATTTGTAAGCATGATTTGTGGGAGAAGTACACTCAGAAGCAAA